TGATAAAGTGTGAACTAGCATGTGGTATGATTCTTTTGTCGAGCGATGCAGCACGTATATCAATTAGTCATTTTAACCTGCTTTTGATACCAGGGTATCTATTCGTTCCCATGAGCAGTATGAGACGTTTTCCATATACAAACAATTTCTCCGACCCAACGAGCCTCAACGCGTGGTAAACTACTGAGGCATTCCTCATACGAGGCGGCAGCACATGGCAACAAAACTTGATTCCCTTCTGCGTCAACGGGGCACGTGAAACAGACTGCATCAGAGGGGAGATCGAAAGTTGGCCATCCCAAGCTCTTCTGCTTTACCTCCGTCTAAAGATTCTTCAAATATTGCAGAGAACACCACTTCTGCCCCCCCTATCCACACTACTAACAAGTACGGCCATGCAGATCTTGCCGATGCTTCGAATCGTTAATTTCCTCATTGAGAGCGTCCAGTTAGGGAGCCTCAGCGCTTTGCCCAACCATAACTGCCCATGATCGCGGTGCTAGAATGCTCCGAATCAACCCCCGGCGTTTTATCACAGCCGAAAGCCGACGTGGGACTCGCGTCGTTGCTGCCAGAAGGCGCGGCCTTGCATTGAATTTCTGTCAAGTGATCAAGCCCCCCTGAGAACACATGGCAACGCGGGGTCGAAATGCGTAATGGCAATAAGTAGAATTGGTACTACATACCGTACCATACTTTCATGTCTAACAAATTCGTAAGCGACGCACACCGAGTTGCAATGGTTCGTCTCAACTGCCGTTATCGATCAAGACCCTTGTGCGGTATACCGCATCTGAAGTTGGTTGTCTAGCTTTTTGATGCACGTATATGTACTTTTAGAAGTCCAATCTATGGGAAGCGGGGCTAGTGACATAAAGTACGAGTCGAATATTACGCAACGCACTCCTGTTCCATGAAATATGCGGGGGACTTTCGCACATCCCCTCAAGCGAAACGACCACGGCCATTCCCAACTTTCCAAGGCTCGGATCTGTTTCGCCGTGGCCCAGTTCAGTTGGTCTCCAATATTTATCAATACAAAGAGTGCATCTGAATTTTTCACGTAAAAATGCAAAATATCCCACTTTCCACTAACACGCGTATTGCTAGCATCTTTTCAGCATATAAAATTCACATATATATCTCCAGCCACATTATTGTTATCTCGTATAGATCACTCCTTTACTTTTCCTTTTGATTTTAAAACGGGACCGAGCCGATGGATATACACGAACCATGTCTATCAAACATCGGCTACAAGATATGCCATGCGACGGCCTCGGCCATCATGGAAAGCTTTAAACGGATACAAGGGATGTTACCTATGTCAGGAGCATTAATTTGCTCCTTCTACGCTGTTTCGGCACACCTTTTATGAAACCTTATTGATTGGTTCAGTCGTACTCAAGTAGCCATGCGGCACAGCAACCGCGGCCAATTTCCTAGTTCCAATCAAACCAACACACAAATATTGCGATGAAATACGTAACTTGAAGCGCCCGTGGGAGCGCCGTGCTTCCCTATTTAGGTTGTTTAGTTGGTCTCTGCGTAAGGCAGAAAGTTCATCGGGTACGGATATTCTTTCGGTTGGCTCCGGTTTCGTGCGTTCTCTGGGGCCCGTTGTTGTTGTTGTTGTTGCTGTTGTGCGAATCGGCGTACCTCTTTTAGATGCAGGCTCTCCATAATTTGAGTTGGTGTTTTGCCGGGACGTTTGATTTTGGTGTTGGTTATTGATTTCAAATCTCTTAGTTAGCGCAGCGCGGTGTTCTGAAAATAAACACTTCCCAAATAGGTCAATGTTGAGCAACATCTGGTAGCGTACTGGGAAGCGCCGAGAGGGCCGCATCGTTCCCCTTTTCCACTCTTCTCCGTGTTGGAAGAGTGCTGGCAATTGTTATGTTATGGTGTGTTGGTCATGCCCGTTCTGTAATTAGTGATGCATGATACAAGGCTGAGGTTGTTGCTGAACGTTAGGATAGCGTTCTTACGTCAGAAACGTGAGGAGATGTCGTACATACCAACAAAACGGGTGGAAAAGCCAAGAGGTTTCCAACAGAGGGAGACAGGGGAGGCTCGTGGGAAGTTCACGATAAGTGGAGTTGGTGGAGTCTGACATGAGCCACTGTTGGGTCGATTGCCTCTGGAGGAGATGGTCTCCGATCTGGAGCCAGTGGGAATCCCCATCTGTATTACTGTAAATCATTCCGTGTACTCTTCTGGAAGATTTTGCGTTCGTTGTTCTTTACGAACTTGGAGTATTAAATTATGTATTCCTATGCTGTGTTTGAAAGTTTTGAATGTAATGTGGGCTTAAATTAATTTCGTTGGAGTAATACTGCCATAATCCGGAGGCTTGAGTCGAGTTGACGTTATGGTTATGGTTATAAGAGATACTAGCCCTAGTACTTGTATTTCGGAGTGACTAAAGATATTGTGGAAGCAATCAAGAGACGTCCTGCACTCCAAGAAGCCTCATACATTACATTTTGGGGGTTCAACGAGCGTTAAGCACTCAAAAAATAAAGCCGAACATGTGGAGAAGGACAAAGCTGCTATTCTCGCTAAGTTCCAGCGAGGGCACCGAATAAAGGTTCATTCCCTAGGAAGCTAGGCAAGTCCAGTTTCGATCATAAGGCTTTTGGTGGATAGATGTAGCACTATGGTTGTTTAACTTCCAATGGCATTTGTCTGCTTCCTTTAAATCTTTCATTTTTCATAAATTGATATTTTATCTCATACAACAACCTTGTAACATTCGGTTCAGCAATTGAGGGCAACTCAAGCCCTCTTACTAGAAACTCTCTTCTTTTCGCTTCTCGGTATTGTGTTTAGCTGAGGATATATATTTTTTGTACTAAGGTAAATCAACGTCTCCTGAATATACAGTAAGAACAAACTTCTGCTTTTGAGGATATTCTTATTACTATTGTCCCTAGACTCAAGCTGATCGAGACTTTTCAAAGGCAGGGTATATTGATTATATAACTGAAGAGAGTCGTTTCATACAGATAAACTCAAGGACTTGCCACAAGACCAGTTTGAAAATAGCCGCAAAGAGGGCGAAGTCTTTCTCTTTAGACCACAGCCGCAAAGAAAAAGTGCACTCAAAGTGGACACAAGTGGACGCGATAACTGGGTCGAATTAAGACTCCATTTTATTTCTTAGGCTCTGTTGTTGAATGGGTGGTGGGTTTGTACTATGACTATTTTGGTATGTATTGCCTCCTCGTCTATCTGCATCTAGAAACACTTTCTCCTGTTGAAATAGATAGATTAATCCGCGACGCGGGTGGAATTAAGAGTATATTTGTAGAGCATTAAGAAAAACTCGTTATTTTGAATGTTTTGTGGTTATAGGTAACCTCTTGTTTTGAACTCGCTTATGCATTCTTTCCCAGGTGAAATGTACCTGAAATGAATTCGCGGGGTTTCCCGAGTTCTTGAAGAGTCTGTTCACCACTCGCGCGCCGTGAAATTACATGTCTTCATCAACGGAATGAGTGGCCCCTTCCATGTTGTGTGATTATAAGCGAGATGGTTTTACTGGCTTGTCCTGAGTTACTGGCGATATTGTTGTACACAGACTGCGTGGTTTCATAAGCATAGTGTAAGTAGAAAAATGGCTTTCTCCATTTGTGAGATACCTGGTTTTACTCTGGACACACTATAAAAAGTCGTTGTACTAATCTTCTAGCACAAGTATAGCAAAAGATTGTGCTAGTATAAATAGGCTAATCATAAGTGAAAATTTGCTATTCTTCTGAACTCTTTGTATGTGTCACAATTTCGGTTGTGCGGGGCATTTAGGAGTATATCATATTAAGCAAGATGTGTAAAGAGTGACGATCATGCTTTCTTACATTCTGAGAAGTTTGTAAGCGTTGTATTAACTACTTGGCTTGGAACTCAAAGACACACTGATCATATCATATTGACAACGGGAATATCTCTGCATTTCACTGCCAGAATTTTAAATTTGTTTGCTCATTTGAGCTCCACTGGCATCATTCACTACACAAACTTCACTCCCTCTGGGAACTCGGTGTTAGATATTTCCTGACACTGTACGGAAATACCTGACACGGGCCTAATTAGGTATTAAAAAGTGGAGACGGTGTCAGGAAATACCTGACACTAACTAAACCGAGTATAAAAAAGTAGGATATACTTTTAGAAACCGACTACAGCCTATAATTAGCTTTTAAGAGAGTTTAAGCGTAGCCCGAGCGTTCCGCGAGCTATCTGTCTATATTATAGAGCCTTTCCCCCTCCCTTTACCTCTGTAAACTATCTGTAAGTACTTAGTCGTTTTTACTTATCCCTCTCCCTCCCCCTCTGTCCCTCCCTACCTGTAAGTACTTTCCTACTTTACTGTCCTGTAAGTCTCTACTTCTATTATACCCCTATTACCCCCTTCCCCCCCTTCCTTTCCCTTCCCCCTCTCTCTTCCTCTCTTACCTACAAATAAATAAACGCGTAGATAAATAAATGAAGAACTATGTCTTTAGTAGAATATTTAAGGTTTAATAGCTACTGTTAGTATTAAGAAAAGTACACGTTAAGGAAGGTTTTATACCTTNCTTCCCCCTCTCTCTCCCTCACCTGCCTATAAACAAGTAAACGCGTAGACAAGTAAATAAAGAACTGCGTCTTTAGTAGAATATTTAAGGTTTAACGGCTACCGTTGGTGTCAGGAAAAGTGCGCGTTAGGGAAGGTTTTGTACCCGGGTCGGCCCGCCGGGTGTCAGGTATTTCCTGACGCAGTTCCCAGAGGGACTTATTTAGTATGTCTTAGTCTCTGTTTCATGTAGTATCTGCTGAATGACAGGAATCTCATCAGTTCTTCACGATGTATATTGCAAAAGCTCCCAATAATCGAAGACAAACAACGGACTGCTGAGCCTCCTATTAAAAGAAGAAGTAAAAAAGAATGGTATTGAGAACTATAAACAAAATGCTGTCAAGTACTATACATACTTCTCCCCAATCCCTCAAAGATTTTACCTAATTAGATTATTAGAGTCACTCCTCAACTTATCACCCTCGCCTGGGGACGCTGCACTAGCCGAAGGTGCAGGTTTCCACGCCAGAGCATCTCCCCAACGATCAACTGTCAAACCAGCGCTTCCCAGGTTCCTGTATCCCGTCTCCAGTTGACGCTCATAGCTGACCGTTCTCAGTCTCTGCTCTTCCGCGGGTGTCAATCGCAAATGTATTTCCACGCCAATCATATGTATGGCGATAGCATACCAAATGGACATTCCGAAAGACAATCCAATCGCCGCTCCGATTTCTTCGGGACCATTCTTACCAGAGAAATCGGCCTTGACGAAGATGCTCGGGTTGCCAGTTGCATTGCGGCATTCTGGGTATTTCAGGGCGAGTCTCGGTGAGAGGAAACATACTTCGTCGCAGGTTTGGATTTGGTAGTAGCTGCCGACGTCACTGATGATATTTCCAGCGATGAGGAATAGGAGACGTGTTGTGATGATGGTTCCGAGATGAAACGTTAACATAGCCCTCAACATCCAAGCACGGTGTTGATCGATCTGAAGACGCTTGATGTTGTAATAAGCCATGCAAATGGACACGGTTGTGATAAATGTAAGGAAATAAACCGCTCCTTGAATGGATAGTGGTCCGCCGAAGGAAATCGAGGAACCATGAGGGCACCGGTATTGCTAAGGAAGACAATTATAATAATGACATATCCGTTGATACAGTGGAATATGATCAGCTTGTAGCGGATGACTAGTATAAATTGCTAGACTAAGAGAAAGGCGTAGGACAAGAATGTTACGAGATACAACGTTATTCCTATCCTATTAGCTCCTATATATTAGCGAACTGTTCTCCCGGTAATATATTACTAGCGAAACTATAGGATATACTTCCGGATATATTTAAATACAAGACTCGAGTAAAGAAGAAACCAAGGATAGCGCCGCCGAAAATTATAACTAGAGTTATTGTCGCTATAATATCCCAGTGAATATACTAGGTGGCACGGACCACCTGACCAGGCTAGTCCTGCCTATATTATCGCGGTACGACTTCCACACCTTTGACTCGGTGTGTATTAATAATAGGAATAGTCTAATACTAAGGTTTAGCCTCTTCCTATATTATACCTTATATCTAATAATAAAGTTAAACTAATACTAATTAGTATTACACGCGTATAGATTAGAGACTTACGATACTTTCGAGACTTTATTTACAAAGCTATTTATACTATAAACAAGCTAAAAGTACTTAATAACTCTACTACTATAGAATACTAGAATACTACTATACTACCTTAACTACCTTAACTACCTTCTAAAAATATACTATAGATACTAGAGATAGTAGAGCACTGTGAGAGGCCAGACCTCGAATAGCTCAAAGGTGTGGTTTCGAATATTCAATTAAGAAGTGCGTGAAGACTACATACATGCAAGCTCTTCCTCTATATATAGAGAGAGGAAGAGTCTCTGGAATATTCCAGGAAGCTGCCTAACGAATACATGATGTCAAAAGAATAGAACAGAAAAGTATGGAACAGCAGAGACTTGCTTGGCAGTGGGGGAATGGCCAGTTGTCACGAATCACGTGTTAGCATGTGACGAGTTAGTCCAGACGGCGTTCTGACAAGACAGATACATCCAGAGTAGTTATAGCATAGCAGNAGTTGTCACGAATCACGTGTTAGCATGTGACGAGTTAGTCCAGACGGCGTTCTGACAAGACAGATACATCCAGAGTAGTTATAGCATAGCAGTGGTTACTCAGGGTTGTTGAGTATCCAAGGATTTCATAGCATTCATAGTCACGTGATTAAAGCGCGACAGCGCGACAAGCGAGTTGTCGGCATTTGGGATTTGGAGAACGAAGGTTCTATATAAGACTGGCACGTCTGCCATTAGAAAGGAGCTTCGTGCTCAACTTAGTTATCAAGCTTATCATATTAGTTTGACATCTTTGATACAAGTAACGAGTTCACTTCCAAGTGAACAACCCGATAGTCTTCTTCTTATCATAGCATACCAACCAGCGAACACCCAGCCAAGTTTAGTTAGCCAGTTTGAGTATTCGTTACACCAGTGCTGAGCAGGGACTTTGGTCAGTGGTTAGCGAGGGCATGGCCCGAGCCTCCATCATGGGTTTCAACCCTCACAAGCACTTATATTATCTTTCTAAATAATAGTAGATACTACTACTAGTAATCTAGATAGTTTCCTACCTCGGCTAGGTAAAGGAGACTATCTACTAACTAAATATAGATTAAGTCGAGTACTTAAACTAAGTAATTAAAATCTTAATAATAATATAGAGAATAATCTAGATTATCTTAAACCAACTTAAGGAATATAGAGACTTTAGGATATTAAAGAACGTATTTAAGGTTAACTTAATAATATTACTTAGATAACCGGAAATCTAAGAACTTAATATAATAAGGTAGATAAGGTTGTATCTAAGTATTCGAATTTTAGCTTTAATAGATCTATTAATCGAGTATCCTTAATTATAAACGGTCTACTATACTAATATACTAACTATTAAGGAAATTATATACGTAGTAACTAGAGTCTAGGCGTACTAAGTCCGGATTAGGACTAGTGTCGTACGAGCCAGCGTTAGCTATATATCGCCCGAGTACGAGCCTCGACTTCTTCCCTCCTTAGTCTAATATATACTCTTGAACCTACCCCCTACCTATTATACTCTGTACCTAATAAGAGGATTATTACCGTCTCTAGAGGATATCTACTTAATACTAATAATAGTAATCCGGTTTAGGATAAGACGACTAGAGTAGGACCTACTCCTAACTAGTTTATAAAGATAGTAATTGATAAATACTAGGATAGTATAATTTAAGATAAGAAGCTTACTAATAAATATACTTAGGATTTTTAAGACTAGACTTTATAATACTTCGAGAGTTATAGTATAGATATTTATAGATTATTTCACTTAGTACTCTACTAATAAGAAGTATTAGTAGCGCTAATTAATAAACTTCTAGTTACCTAGGTATTATTTAATATAGTATAGAGAATAGAAGAGTATATATAGCTATTGGGTTGAAAGGGTATTGGGTACTGAAGGTCATGGAGAATTGATTGCATTGTAAAAGTGTCACGGGTCAAATGTCGCGATTCGGTTATTCTTCCTCGTGACCGCGGGAAAAGTGGCTGCCTAAGCGAGCATGCATGTCCCACGCTTCAAGCAAACAAACAATGAAGGAAAACTCTTCAAGCAAACATGCCAACACACAACTCCCTCAGAAAACTCTTTAAGCAAACACGACAACACATCAAATCCCTCATCGTGGCGTGATAAGGGATGTGGGAGACGCGGGGGATAAGGAGCTGTTGGGTGTGTGGTGTTTCTGGCATAAGAACCTCGGGTTTTCTCCTCAGCTAGCTCTTCTCTCCTTAGCTTTAGATTCTAAGTAGTGGAATAGCAGTATCCTTCACCGTTCCGTTACAAAAAGGTAGCTATCTAAGGTGTTTATATAAAGAGTGTAAGGTTTAGGCAGACATGAAGCATTTAGGCAGCAGAACTATAAGTGGATCAAATAAGGAAGTGGAGCAAAAGAGAAAGTAGACCCAGCACAACAACTAGTACTAGATTCCGGTGCAACTGAACACTTTACTCCTAATAAGGACTGGCTTCTTAATTATAAAGAAGTAAAAAACACCTCTATTATAGTAGCAAATAATGAAAAGGTACCTTTATGTAACGAATACTCAAACTGGCTAACTAAACTTGGCTGGGTGTTCGCTGGTTGGTATGCTATGATAAGAAGAAGACTATCGGGTTGTTCACTTGGAAGTGAACTCGTTACTTGTATCAAAGATGTCAAACTAATATGATAAGATTGATAACTAAGTTGAGCACGAAGCTCCTATCTAATGGCAGACGTGCCAGTCTTATATAGAACCTTCATACCCCGCGCATGGTCCGAGTATAGAGTAGTATAAGCCTTCCTTATACTTCCTTATACTCCGGTAGTATAGAGTAGTATAAGCCTCCCTTATACTTCCTCATACTCCCTAGTCACATGATCTTCTGTAAGGAAGAAATCCTTGGATCGCCTAGCTACCCTAAGCGATCCCCATTTGCTATAAGAAATCTGAATGTGCCTGTCGAGGGTTGCGCCTCTTATTATGACAAGTATCACGTGAACACGTGATTCGTGACACTTTATTAGGTAAAGGTAATATACCTATTACTTATAAAGGAATAGAGCTACTTATAAAGGACGTTTCTTATGTTCCTAGTCTTAATAATACTCTTATTTCAGCTCACTCTCTAGCTAATAAGGGATGGGAAATAGTACTTAATAAGGACTCTACTTATATAAGTTATAATAGAGCTAATATTAAGATAAACGCTATTTGGCAGGGGAATGCCTACTATCTCCCGGATCTTACTATAGACTATAGTAAGCTTGAAAAGGTTGTTTATAGTATAAATACCTCGCTTAAAGAGGAGAACCTTAATCTACTTCATAAGAGGCTAAATCACTCAAACAGTACTTATTTAATTAAGACTATAAATAATACTATAGGTTTTAAACTTAATAATAAGTCTAATAAGACTTTAGAACACTGTGAACCCTGTTTTCTAGGTAAATTCACTAAGAAAGTAAGCTAAATTCCACTTAAAAATCCTAATAATAGTGATTTTGGAACTTACTTTGACCTAGATATAGCGGGTCCTTTTAGAGTAAAAGGTAATTGTCGGTATATAATTCTGGTGAATAGCACCTTGTACGAGAGCCTGGTGGATCTATATGCTTTAGGTCATGTGAGTGGCTTGCCACTCATATACTTAAGCTTGTAGGGTACCACCTCTCTTTACCTTTACTCTTCATACACGAATGAATACAAACAGAGATTATATTTGTGTATCACCCTTTTACGACTACCAGGTCGTGTGACGACACGCACAGCTGATGGACCGCGCAAGAGCACGACTACGTCAGGTATCACGAGTGGTGAGATTGACACTGTGGAACTGTCTATTCGAGGATTCTAAGCTAAGGAGAGAAGAGAAGAGAGCAGAGCTCGGGAGCCAGAGGTTCTTATATACAGGAGGTTGTGCCAAGCTATGGCTAACTGAGCCGGGCTCAGGAAGCACGGTATCCACTGGGTTCCAGCCAGGGGCTGGTCTGAGGTGTAGTGGCGGTTAGAACCGTCACAGGTCGTACCAACAGTAATAAAGGAGAATCTTACTTTATTACTTTTACTTGTCGAAAGACTAGAATTGTCTATATATATACTATTAAATTTAAAACAGAGGCTTTAGATTCATTAATTAAATTATAAATTATTAAATAATCAGTTTAATATATCTATTAAAGGTCTACACTTAAATAACGCTAAAGAACTAAAAAGTGATAAGTGGGACGACTTTTGTAAAGAAAACGGTATATATAACGATTATATAAGCCCTTATAGTCAGGAACAGACCGGAATAGCCGAACGTCTAAATAGATTTATACTAGAGAGACTTATTACTATAGTAGCCGAGAAGAATATTCCTTTATACTTCTGGCCTTACTTAGTTAAGTCTATTATTCATATAAAGAATAGAACATATAACTCTACTATAGACTGTACCCCCTTTGAATTAGCTACGAAGGAGAAGCCGGATATATCTTATATAAGGATTCTAGGCTCTCTTTGTTACTATCTTAGACCTAAAGAAGTAAGACTTCAAAATAGGCTTGGAAAATTAGATATAAAAGCTAATAAAGGTATATTAGTAGGCTTTGATGCCTCGAATAACTATCTTGTTTATAACTTTGAAAAGAAGAGTATAGATAGTACTCGAGATATTACTATTAAAGAGGACCTAGAATATAAAGAGACTTATAAACCTAATTTGGATTTAGGTACTCTACTAGATCCAGAATCGAAGGATTATAATACTCTATTAGAAATTATAAATAAACCTTCTAAAAATAAAGAACCTTCTATACATATAGAAGAAGAAGAGCCTATAGATAACTCTATAAGAGAATCTATAGAAGGGGATACTATAGTAGTAGATACTAATCCCATAGTAGAAAGCGAAGAAGAGGTTGTAGAGGAAGATAATATAGATATAAATAAATCTATAAATCTTCGACCTCGAAGAGAGGCTATAAACTATAAACAGACAAAGTCTTATAATAAGAAAGCTAATAAAGCTTCTTATTTAGCCCCCTTTTTTGACTACGCTGCCTCGGCTCTTTTAACCTCTAAAATAGAGGGTAGTGTAACGAATACTCAAACTGGCTAACTAAACTTGGCTGGGTGTTCGCTGGTTGGTATGCTATGATAAGAAGAAGACTATCGGGTTGTTCACTTGGAAGTGAACTCGTTACTTGTATCAAAGATGTCAAAC